GCTATTGAAAGATTATCACTGCTGAAGAAACTTTAAGATCACATTTCCCTTTTATTTGATCTCCAATCACACTTCTGGTTTCATAGTGAAAATTTTTATAAATAAAATAATCTGTTTATTGCTTTTGAGTTCTTTATTCAAACTAAGACATAAATTTTTAATAAAATTGTTAAATAAAATATAATCATTAATAACCATAGTATAATAACAAATATATTTATTCTTTGTCCCTATTTCAGGCACAGAGCTCCTAAAACCCTTGGAAATTCCTAAATGTTAAGAGAATTCCATCCCTGACACAATGCTCCTGAAACCCTTATAAATTCTTACATGAAAAAATATTATTACACGATAAGAGGACTAGAGCATCTTTTCTTCTAATAAGGTGGCTCTCCTTGGGCTCCTGGATAAGGGCTGATCGCCAAAAAGAACAAGCCATGATTATAAGCTTGGAATTTTCAGACGTAACCCCCATCTCCCAGAGGGGAAGAGAGGCTGGAAATGAAATAAATAATTGATCATGCTTACATGAAGAAGCTGCCATAAAATCTCAACAGGTGTTCAGAGAGCTTCTAGGTTAGTGAACACATCCATACCGGGAGGGTGACATACTCCAATTCCACATGGACAGAAGCTCCTGCATTTGGGATCCTTCCTAGGTTATCTTGCCCTAGGTATCTCTTGTTCTGGGTGTTCATCTGTATCCTTTATCCTATCTTTTCATAAGCTGCTAAACATAAGAAAAGCGTTTCCCCATGTGGGAAAACACTTTTTTTGATACAGACACACTTTTATTAAATAACTTTACAAGTTACTTGCAAGGTCAGTTCTGAAATATTCTTTCATAAACAAGTTAGAAAAATAATGCCAAAATAAATCTATTTTAAGTCTCTGAAATATGACCAACTCTCCATCACACCATATCCAAAGTTTAAAAAAAGGGTGGCTGTTTAAAAATAGCACTCATTCCCAGTTTCCAGCAAATTTTTTCCTTCATTCTTATGTCTGGTCTGCAAGCCACTCTGCAAATTAACCAAATCTGAGGAGAGGGTAGTTGGAACCTCCAATCTGTAGCCTGTCTGGTCTGAAGCACAGGTGATAACCTGAGCTTTTGACTACCATCTGAAGTAGGGGTGGGAGGAGCAGTCTTGGGCTGAGTCTCTAACCTGTAGGATCTGACACTATCTCTAGGTAAATGGTCTCAGGACTGAGTTAAATTGTAGAACATCCAGCTAATGTGGGAGACTTGTTTGTTGTGGAGAAAAATGCCAACACATCTGGTGACCAAAAGTGTCAGAAGTGAAATGTTCTGTGTAAGTAGTAGTAGACAAAAAAAAATGAACACAAAGTAGGTTTTTACATAGGTAAACTATCTGAGATTTTTCCTTTACAAATAGTTTCTCCTTGTGGTTTTATTTTGCATGTCCCTAATTATTAATGCTGTTAAGCACGTTTTTCATGTACTTATTATCTCTTCCTATACCTCTTTTGTAAAATGTCTGTTCAAGTCTTTAACTCACATTTTTAATTAGGTCGTTCTATGTGCAGTTCATTATATATACTGAAGTCCTTTGTCAGATATAAACTATGAATATTTTCTCCCAGTATGAAGCTTGCCTGTTTATTAAGAAACTTCTGATGAGCAGAAATTTTGAATTTGATGAAATCTAATTCATCATTTAGTAGTGGTTATTTCTTTGTCCCGTCAAAACCTTTGTCTATGCCAGATCACAAACTGATTTGAATATTTTGTTAGAGCTTTGTAGAATTTTTGCTTTTAGGTATATGATCCATCTCTCAAATTAATTTTTACATTTGGTGTGAAGTAGGAATCAAGATTTATTCTGCTCCATACTTACAGAGTTGTTCTATTACCATAAAAAGTCTATCCTTTTCCCCAAAGGTAAAAATTAATTTGAATGTAAAGGCACCCTGGTCAAAAATCAGTAACTGTATATGTGTTTGTCTACTGAACTTTCCATTCTATTCCATTGATCAATCTATCCTTAATGTCCTTCCACAAAGCTTTAATTACTATAATTATAGTTAATGTTGAAATCAGGTAGTTTAAGTCCTCCGACTTATTCTTTCTCAAAATTGTACTTGGCTATTCTAGGTCCTT